GTGTCCCTGCGATGTATCTCATCCTTAATGCCATTATCCGGGTGTCCCTGCGATGTATCTCATCCTTAATGCCATTATCCGGGTGTCCCTGCGATGTATCTCATCCTTAATGCCATTATCCGGGTGTCCCTGCGATGTATCTCATCCTTAATGCCATTATCCGGGTGTCCCTGCGATGTATCTCACCCTTAATGCCACTATCCGGGTGTCCCTGCGATGTATCTCATCCTTAATGCCATTATCCGGGTGTCCCTGCGATGTATCTCATCCTTAATGCCATTATCCGGGTGTCCCTGCGATGTATCTCATCCTTAATGCCATTATCCGGGTGTCCCTGCGATGTATCTCACCCTTAATGCCACTATCCGGGTGTCCCTGCTATGTATCTCATCCTTAATGCCATTATCCGGGTGTCCCTGCGATGTATCTCACCCGTAATGCCATTATCAGGGTGTCTCTGCGATGTAGCTCATCCTTAATGCCATAATCCGGTCGTCCCTGCGATGTATCTCATCCTTAATGCCATTATCCGGGTGTCTCTGCGATGTATCTAACCCTTAATGACATTATCCGGGTGTCCCTGCGATGTATCTCATCCTTAATGCCATTATCCGGGTGTCCCTGCGATGTATCTCATCCTTAATGCCATTATCCGGGTGTCCCTGCGATGTATCTCACCCTTAATGCCACTATCCGGGTGTCCCTGCTATGTATCTCACCCTTAATGCCATTATCCGGGTGTCTCTGCGATGTATCTCACCCTTAATGCACCTATCCGGGTGTCCCTGCTATGTATCTCACCCTTAATGCCATTATCTTGGTGTCCCTGCGATGTATCTCATCCTTAATGCCATTATCCGGGTGTCCCTGCGATGTATCTCATCCTTAATGCCATTATCCGGGTGTCCCTGCGATGTATCTCACCCTTAATGCCATTATCCGGGTGTCCCTGCGATGTTTCTCATCCTTAATGCCACTATCCTGGGGGTGTCCCTGCGATGTATCTCATCCTTAATGCCATTAACCGGGTGTCCCTGTGATGTATCTCACCCTTAATGCCATTATCCGGGTGTCTCTGCGATGTATCTCATCCTTAATGCCATTATCCGGGTGTCCCTGCGATGTATCTCATCCTTAATGCCATTATCCGGGTGTCCCTGCGATGTATCTCACCCTTAATGCCACTATCCGGGTGTCCCTGCGATGTATCTCATCCTTAATGCCATTATCCGGGTGTCCCTGCGATGTATCTCATCCTTAATGCCATTATCCGGGTGTCCCTGCGATGTATCTCACCCTTAATGCCACTATCCGGGTGTCCCTGCTATGTATCTCATCCTTAATGCCATTATCCGGGTGTCCCTGCGATGTATCTCACCCGTAATGCCATTATCAGGGTGTCTCTGCGATGTAGCTCATCCTTAATGCCATAATCCGGTCGTCCCTGCGATGTATCTCATCCTTAATGCCATTATCCGGGTGTCTCTGCGATGTATCTAACCCTTAATGACATTATCCGGGTGTCCCTGCGATGTATCTCATCCTTAATGCCATTATCCGGGTGTCCCTGCGATGTATCTCATCCTTAATGCCATTATCCGGGTGTCCCTGCGATGTATCTCATCCTTAATGCCATTATCCGGGTGTCCCTGCGATGTATCTCATCCTTAATGCCATTATCCGGGTGTCCCTGCGATGTATCTCATCCTTAATGCCATTATCCGGGTGTCCCTGCGATGTATCTCATCCTTAATGCCATTATCAGGGTGTCCCTGCGATGTATCTCACCTTTAATGCCATTATCCGGGTGTCCCTGCGATGTATCTCATCCTAAATGCCATTATCCGGGTGTCCCTGCGATGTATCTCACCCTTAATGCCATTATCCGGGTGTCTCTGCGGTGTATCTCATCCTTAATGCCATTATCCGGGTGTCTCTGCGATGTATCTCATCCTTAATGCCATTTTCCGGGTGTCTCTGCGATGTATCTCACCCTTAATGCCACTATCCGGGTGTCCCTGCGATGTATCTCACCCTTAATGCCATTATCCGGGTGTCCCTGCGATGTATCTCATCCTTAATGCCACTATACTGGGGGTGTCCCTGGCGATGTATCTCACCCTTAATGCCATTATCCGGGTGTCCCTGCGATGTATCTCATCCTTAATGCCATTATCCGGGTGTCTCTGCGTTAAAGTTCTCTCAAGGCCTGGCTTTGTGCGATGAATTTCTCTTATTGCGTAGCGTTATCCGGGTACCCATGCAATGAACCGCTCTCATTGCGTGGCGTTATGTGGGTACCCATCCAATGAACCACTCTCATTGCGTGGCGTTATGTGGGTACCCAGCCAATGAACCGCTCTCATTGCGTGGCGTTATGTGGGTACCCATCCAATGAACCACTCTCATTGCGTGGCGTTAAGTGGGTACCCAGCCAATGAACCGCTCTCACTGCGTGGCGTTATGTGGGTACCCATCCAATGAACCTCTCTCACTGCGTGGCGTTATGTGGGTACCCATCCAATGAACTGCTCTCATTGCGTGGCGTTATGTGGGTACCCATCCAATGAACTGCTCTCATTGCGTGGCGTTATGTGGGTACCCATCCAATGAACTGCTCTCATTGCGCGGCGTTATCTGAGTGTCGCCGATGAATCTTCCACGCAGGAGATATCATAAACCAATTTCCTTGAAGACTGTGGCACTTTTAAGTTTGTAATCACTTTCAGTTAATACGTCACACTATGTTTCATTATCCAAATTCCAATGAATAAAGCTGAGGGTCAAATTATTAAACTGTAAGCTCCATCATTCAAACAATGCTTCTTCCTGACGATTTACACACCCAAAACACACACAATAAGTAACGGTCAATTTTTATGAAGTTTCACTGTCTGGAATCTCGGGGTATATGGTCACACTTTCGGTACGTGTGACCTCATGCGTAGTGTCATGTCATAGTTCTTCTAAACGAATGATTACTCGAGCGTACGCTTGAAGTGTACTGCAGTAGTATTTCTTTTAATATAAAAATATATAAATAATAATATCATCAGTTGAGCAAATTCTGTTGATAACTAGCTCGGTTTGTCAGTCACATTGACGGGGTGTTGTAATACATCGTCCTCAAGTATATAACGCCAAAATGGCCGACACGGTCAACTGGAAGGAAGACATGTCCAGAGAGGTGTCACTGAACACAGGAACATTAGGTGTTTTATTTCGCTGCTGAATTGAAAGGTGATTATAAGATGCGTCGAAAAGGGACTGAAGTATTAATTCAACACTAACTGCAGATTGATGTTGCCTGTTAGTATGGGTACACAGTCGACAGTTTTAGTGTGCACCCAAGTTAACGTTGATGGGTTGCAGCTGGCACATGCCATGACGGACATGCAGTCAACAACTCCAGTGTATGCAAACACCAGAGTACATGATTACCCCAAGAAAACAAATGTGGAAATTGCCCTTTACTGTTTCCGTCATTTCCAGAATACTAACTCTGAAAAACGTACCAACGTTACAATTTGTCGTCCGTACATATATGGACGTCAGTTTCGCAGTCATGTGAAAGATCTCAAAACGTATAACGAGTAATATAGTTCAAATAACATGCCATTATGAAACAATACCTAACACATATGCAGTTATTTTAACTGAGAATAGTATTACATTCGGGTTTTACAACTTCCAATAAACCGTTCAACAAACGATTTAAACAAAATATGCAAGCAACCGGCGACTCTAACATGCTATTCTTAAATCTTTCTCACAAAATCGATTTTAAGTCCAACCCTTGAAGTTTCAATCAAAAGGCATGTCTGCAGATCTCGTATCAACTGCTGGATGGTTTATACAGAATAAATGTGTTTGTTGTAGGCAGTTTTATACGAACACAGGATTGACCATTCTACGAGATGTATGCAGTAAGTATCCTTGACAGCGGGTGAATATATCATGAATATATTTGAGTGGTGATATTTTAACCCTTAAAAAAAGGTTTGCTGTGGTATTCATGTGTCTACCGTACTATCGGTCACATTTTAAGCTGATGAAACTGAGTACTATTTTATATATTAGGTACTATTATATATATATCCCCACATGAAGCACAATAAAAGCTAGGTACGTCTAGATAGTCTTTAGAATCTGGTATATTTCATGTCGGTAATATTTTTCACCATCATGATATGCCACCGGTTAAACGCTATCTAATTACTTAATCTCAGTCTTGAGAATATGTTAACTGTTCTTTTGGGGAGTGTTTAAACGGAGGGATTATAAACAGCTTGCTCTTACTAGCTTGTTATACTATATATTACACTTTGGCGCCCTGGTTATGTTTCTAGGTTTGTCAGCACCATGCCTGAGCTCGTGAGCTTCAACAAACCGATAAACGCCTGAGACCTGCATCACTTTGGGCTTTCAACCCATATCAAGATAACTCTCTGTGATATAACTGAATACTTTTCAAAGCGGCGTTAAACCAAACTCACTCACCCACTTGCTTTCGATCAAAGGGTAATCTTTTTAAAAAAATTACAAAAAACGAAACCGGAATATTTAGCTTTATATGTAAAATGATGAACAATAGATTGTCTGTTCAATGGTTGAATGTGTTATATCGTGATAGATCATTTCTCGTGGGTTAGGCCACACACACAGCACAATTCCTACTTTAAAAGATTTAATCGCAATCCTAATTCTACTATTGTATGGCGATGTGGTCACGCCGGCATCCATGCGGTAAACTAGACGGCGTTATCGACACAATGAGCAAAACATACAGAACATTAAGCTATTAAAATTGAGATTAGATATTCTTGTCAGTCTCTAGGTGAACACAGGTTCGTTCTTTCACGTTAACGTTTCCCTAACCAGCATTTAACACGCTTTCAAAAGTCGATGAGCAAAGCAATGACAACCACATGCCCGGCGTTACATGCGTTATACTTTCCCATAATCATTAATAATGAGAAATCTCATCAGAAATGACTTACCTAAAAATGTGACAGGGTCTGCCTGGCCCCCCTCGGGCCGCACCCAAAGTTCGACAGTAAACTGTTCCATAGGGATACGAGTTGTAAACGAGTGTTGAGAGGGGGTAAGGTTTAGCACCTGTCGCCCAGAAAAGTACACAGCATTACCGAACTTTGATCGCCTTTCGCCCCAATCCCCTTGCACATCCCGGGGGTACCTCGATGGCACGTGCACACTCTGCCCACCCCCCGTAACACTATAGGAAGTTTTGAGTTTGTCCTCTCTGTTTTTTGTTTCTTTTGCCACTTTATCCTTTTTTCTTTGAGTGTGTGCAAAGTGCCGGTTGATTTTCTGTTCAAATGCCTGAGATAAGAGAATAAAAAACACGAGTAAAACTCCGATCCTGTGTGAGGAGTTGGTGGGATGTCTGGGAAGTAGGGGAGGCATGGTGGATTCGGCGGCAGTGAGGACATCGCACATACAGGGACATGAGAACACGGGGTAAATTCACGTTTACACAAACTGATTTCTCTCAGTGTGACAGAAGGGTCACGTGACGACCCGTCAAGCCAGCAGTAAGAGATGGGTTTAGAGAGCGCCGCTATCACACTGCTGTGGGGGACTATCGGGTCTGAAGCGCCACCCTCCGCCCTAACATCATCTACTAAACTCCCTGTTCGTCATTGATTTCATATGCACAATACAAGGCTGCACCCATCGGCGGTGATGGCGGCACACAGTACCAGCTACCTACACGAGTTTGCTGCACCTCTGTCACTTTCCAAGTATATGTTACGCTAATCTTCAGAGAGTGACACAAGTCTTAAAACAGACGTGTTCTTCGCCTGTGACGCTATATGGAAATCATGTTATTTTTATGTAATTGGGCATAAGGAGGTAGCGATGAGAGAAAGGTAGGGCAAGTTGAGTGTGTCGATGTACGCTATCCCCTTCATACATCACTGCGCACCTGATTCAGGCGGACAAAACTCTTATTGCGGGTAAATATTTGCACTGAAACATGTCATGCCCTCGTCGGAAGCTGTTGTTATATTTGGTCGTCATGTCTCAAGTTTTCATTTATTGCAACAGACTATGCATTCATAATATGTATGAATGTGAATGTTATGATCCGTAGTGTGTAAAATATTTGCTTGAGACGTGTGTAATATAACCAAAACGACACATTAACGTTGCTATCCTATCGACTGATAAAGAAAGATAGATACCAACTTCTCCCACCATGGAAGTTAGAATTAATATGATGACTAAGCATCATGACGGCCGAGGTCTGTGGGCACGGTTGTTGTATCTCGTGCAGACGAGACTGCGACTTAGAGACTGTCGGTGTCCGGCTGGTGACCAGTGAGCGGGGCGCTGGCCAGTGCGGAGTGAAATGCCATGTCTACGGGGACTGGACACAGACACAATTAGACTGGTATCGATGTGATGGTCTTAACTTGTGACATATCGCTATGCTACAGTTCGTCCAATTTACAACTCCCTACAATGTACAGCATACAAGGGCCTAACATACGGATGATGAATTGGTATGCCTGTACTACAGTGTCTTCTGTAAGACTGTATCAAATAGCATGGAATCGATACGGTGTTTAAGACGATACACAACGTTTAAGATGTTAAAGCAGCTGATCTGTATTGTTTCAGGGGAAGAGATGACTCATCGATATAACAGCTATAGCAAGGGCATTGGTTAAGACTGTTGTAGCCACTCCACCGCTTGACCGCCTCGCTTAAGGTACATATTGACAGGCCTTCCCACAAAACATTCTCCAGGCTGACAAACTAGCTTAATTGCCAGTGAGCATTAGTACACCAACACAAGGGATACACAGGGCGCACAACTGAAAACATGGGCAGTATACATCAGAATGAACCTACAACAAAAAGACATAAACAAAAATTTGGCGACTGGAAACTGGGAAAATATATTATGTTTCAATTTCCGACTATGTTTGTACATGTAAGTTACAAGATATCTTCTTGACATGTTAAGGAACAAAACCTAGATGCCTCGCGGTACGTTCAACAGGTGCTGAAAGATTAATCAGAGACGTATGTGGTAAATATTATCGACAGATGCTCGAGGGGTGAGGCAGTACATATTGATAACACACTGTAGTTTTAGTATTGTAAGTGTCACTGTGTTGTACATCTTTCCAAACAGAATATAGGACCGCCATTACTACTGCTACCCATTCCCTGAATGCCAAATGAACAACATCACTAAATTCAGTACTAGTAAATGTTGTATGGGCAGTCCAAACATGTGTTTCCTCCAAGAAGGGACGTACGTATAACGTAAATGTTGCGTGTTGGTTTCGTAAGATCTAAGCATAAAGCCTGGGCATGATGCTGACACAAACCTGACTGTCGCACGAAGCGGACGCCACGTCAGTGCTATTAATATAAACTGGCATCAGACTCTGAACTGTGGACGGGTTGGTTGATCTTGTTAATAATGACGCGGCATGCCCTGATCACAACGACAATAGGATTTACCTCTGAACAGTTCTACAGCGGTGAGTGGGTGAGTTAAATGTAACGTCGTATCGGCATTATTTCAGCCATATAGCGACGAGACCAAGTTAATATGTTTACAATTGAGTCATTTGTGCAAAGTTATATATAAAAACAATTTATGAAACTTATTTGAGCATATCAATATCATGTATACAGTTTTAAAACACGGGCAATCTCATTAAAATCAAATCTTAGATCTGATTTTAATGAGATTGAAAACACGGGCTATAGGCCAGCAGTAACCAAAGCTAGGCCACCTCGCTGGGGATCATGGGGACTTAGTGTACCTCAGTTCTATAGTCTCAAGAGCGGAACATTATTACGCCACAGTGATAATCATCTCCCTATATAACAAATAAATATACGTAGTGTATGTGAATGTCTGTGTTCCGCCTGAAAACACGTGTATTAGGTTCCAGTCGATATGAGAGATATACGCCGAGCGCTAACGGGTCAATGACTGAACGAAACAAGCACAACGAAAAAAGGGTTGAGATGTGTGCATGCGTCCACATGCAGCAAGTCATTCTAGTACAGTAACTGCACTATGAACAGTCTTAGTTTATTAATTAAGACAATCACTCATGTGAGTGATCGTCAGTATGCCACATACGCAGCCTTGTTACAATAAACCTGTCTGCAATATTCCTGGTGAATATCTGGGCATTGATGATGCACCCAGTGAGCACCAGTTACAGCACAGTGAACATCGGGCCTTGGGCAGGATTATCAGTGGTCGAGTGCAGCAGCAGCAACCCACCCGGCTGGACACGATGACACCACCCAGGTGACGCAGTGTAATCACTTGTACTGTCAAAATGTGTTCGGAATGTAAACACAGACAAGAAATGTTTAGATCTAAATATGATTAGAAATGTGTTTAAATCCTAAATGGAGTGCACATTTGGTGTGTTCTATCTAAACGCATTTAGGTCTAAACACATGAAATGAGCTATCGTATCACAGCCTCAACACCACCTAAACAAAACATGTTCAGAATTTAAACAGGTTAAAACATGTTTAGATTGTATACATGTTTGAACATGTTTAGAAGTTTAATGTGTGTAATACACATTGAAACCCTAAAGACTTTTAGCTGTTAGACGCAGTCATAACATGTGAAGACTTAAACATGTCAAAATTATGGGACATGGAACGTGTGTATGTTTGTGTTTATAATGAAACCCTTTTTATAGTGTAGTCCTCATTGATTGCTTATTGCAACAAGCACAGGTCAAGTTTTGCCCCGGACTCTCAAAGGGGGAAAACTATAGAGGTAGGGAACGGTTGAAAAACTTCATGAATCATGACTTGATGTTGCCAGATATAGGAATCTCCCCATTTGTCCTTTTCTATGCGTTACAGCGTATGTGCTGTCTTATCGTCTCTAATTACTGCAAGCTAACACAACCTTTGTAATGTCATTTCACTACTCTTTAACCACTGTTTCAGCGACGATACTACCTTTACGAAACATTAGTAGAACTGGTACATATTACGTTTCCCGCAGCTGTCAAAACTTCCAAGATGTTATTGTAAAGTCCCATTCATCCTAATGTTATTGTTGTGAATGGACAGTCTCTACAACACTGTGCTACACGAAAGCGCCATTACATAAAAATGGATTCCGACTACAATGCTCGATACACGGCTCTGACACAACAGCAGCGTGAGGTTTGCCTAGGTCTGGGTCATGTCGGGTGCGTTACCTGTCTGCTGCAGCCAGTGATCCTGCGCTCTGTACAGACACACAGCGTTTATCTGAAGCTAGCGATGACAAGCAGGAAGATAATTACTTCCAAAAGATTTCATTCACTAAACAAAAAACACTATCCACGTCAGACTCTCTTTTCCTACCTGTGGGGCAGTCAAGTATATTTAACTGCGTTTATCTAAACACACACGAATGAGAATTAATTACGAGCTGTCTGTGGTTTCTTGTGATAGCCTGACTTGTTACAGATAGGTATTTTGAGCCACACTTTTTTATTTTTGTCGTGGTTTGGGCATGTTTATTGCTGCTATCTTGTACAGACTTGTAAAGGCGAAGCGGCAGAAGCATCTCTTGTAAATTGGTTGCATTTCACCATGTATTGTGTAGCCGGCGATAGATTTATTATGGAAGCTCTGCTGATGTAGTCACGCAGATACAACCGTTGTATTAACGTGTTGGTTCATACTGCTCTCAACAATGAAAGTTTCAATGTTCTCAGTTACAAGCAGTAGTTGAATGTCCTATCCAGCCATAGCTGGATTATGTATGTGCGTGCGTGCGTGCGTGTGTGCGTGCGTGCGTGCGAGCTAAATAGTACATGAAGATTTTAAGTGCAAATTCGCAACAGATGTAAAGTCGAAAACTACCACTTAGTGTGGACCGTTGTACATGTAGTTTGAAAGGAATTATAAATAAATCAAGCTGGGAGTCTCGGAAGATACCAAGCAAGGTATGTCAGTGTACGAAAGAACATCTCTACATAGTATACAGTTTCTGATAATCAAGTTGTAATGGAATAAGACGTCATAATAGGAAATAGTCTTAGTATAATGAACTATAGAAGACGATGCTGGCCTAGTCATACGCTGAACAACACATGAATATGCCCATAAACGCCATACAGTTCTATCATATTTGACTTCATGTGAGAAACTTTGAAAATAGTTCATAAGGAATGGGGTTTTTTCAGCACTCACTGAAGTAAAGCAGTCGCACATTGTGTGAAATCGTGTAGTCCTATGAATTTACTCAAAAAGAAAATCATTAATAATTACAATATCACTGTTTTATGTTAATATTTTGTCGTACTTTCGTCGTGTTCGTTGAACAGGTTCTAGTTTGTTACACGTCGTGACATGCGCATGAATACACTACTCGGTGCTTATTTCGGTCGGCTCTTACCGATTGTAACCAGGAATGAGGAGCCCCACGATGACCGTTGTCTTGGAAAGTGTATCATGGTAGTATAAAGCAGAAAAGAAGATAAGAATCATGTACACACAAATCCACAT